ACACACACATATACAGACTGTTCTGGAAAGCTTTCAGATCGGTACAGCGCTACAGTACCCATACAGCGCTCGTCTCTTTTGCTCTGCCTTCCCCTGCAAAAAATAAAAAGTGAACAATGAAAAGACACACAAACCAACAAGCTCTGTGCCAGCAGATGAAAACTTTAGATTTGAGTTGCTAAATGATTTTATATTGACACAGAGCAGTGATCGCTGCTGTGATTGGACATATTTATATATTTTGTGCCACATTCTAGCAGTGATTGTGTCCAGGACCAATATTAGGGATGTGCCAGTACCATGCTAGGATATTCTGGAAAGCTTAGTACAGTTTAGTATTATAACCAACACTTTTCTTACCATCACTAGTCTAAATGGCCTTTTTACAATCCTTCTGTAGATTATTTTGTGGTATTTGGATGTAACCTCCACTTACGATTTGTCTAAACTGAATATGTCAACATCAGTTTTTAGTTTTTAATAAATCTAATTTTCCTCCCCCAGGTTCCCGATGCTGTCTCCCTTATCCCAATTCCGCTCCCTTCCCAGGCTCTGCCCTCATCAGTCTCACCACCACACCATCTCCGGCCTCTCTGGCCTGGCCCCCAGACATGGTTACCGCTGCACCCGTTGCGCCCAGAAAAAATGGCCCCCTGTTCTCATTCCACCCCTGGATTCTCTCAAAGATCCCCTGAAGCCCCCCCAGAGTCTCATCCTGCCCTCCCTGGACACATCCTCCGACCAGCAGAAGAGCCCCCTGCTGGGTGGAGAGTGCGTGAATACACACCATACACAAGCCGCTGTGCCAAAAACTGTACAGGAGAAGATGGAAGGAAGTGAAGTGAAGGAGAAAAAGGAAGGAGAGCTCACAGTATTGTCTGTAGGAAGGTACGTGCACTTTATAACACTTTACTAAATACATGTAGCTGGGTGCTGTTCACAGGCTTCACTTTGACATAGTTAAACTTTCCTGTAGCATTTAAATTTTTTTTTGCTGTTACTGAAAGTACCCAGCATCACTGACAATAATAGTATTGCTGTTTTTTACTGAGGTCATGGATTTGAATTGTATACCACCACCTATACAGTTGCACCAGCAAAAATAAATGAGCTCTCACTTGTTACATCACAGCGGCGATTTTCCAGGGTCGGTGTAATCGAGTGGCGTGAAGGTGGTGGAGAGGACTCAGAGGCAGGCAGGGTTGTGAAAGAGGAGCCTTTATTGTCAGAAAACAAAGTTCAAACAACAGGACAAGTTAACACGGAAGATATCTTGACTGAGGACACAGGAAAAGGCAGGACTATAGGTACACACAGGGGACTGATTGCACAACAGGACGCAGAGCACAGGGATTCAATCAGCAGTGGGTGAAAACAATGAAGGTGGGCTGGAAAATCACAGAAAGTAACCATGACGATGCACAAGAGAAACACACTTAAATACACTTAAAAAGGCACGAAGACTAATTATGCAGTTGATTAGTCCAAAAAATGAACCCCTACCTCCTTTTTCTAACTACTTTTCTTTGACCTGCATGGAACGCATCAAGAGGTGAAGGGAAGGTATCAAGGAGAATTTATGAGGACAGAGGAGAAGAGAAGGGCAGTGCTCAGAAAATCCAACTGCACTTACATTAGACTCCTTAACAATGGGATGTCTGTGGTTTTTTGAATTACAATGGACTAAAAAAGAAGGCCCCTTTGAATTCATCCCAAAATGTTCTCACTGTGTTATTCCATTTTTTGCTGGAGAGATGTTCCAGTGTAACTTCAGAGGCTTTCCTACATTCACAAATTATCCAGTTCTGGGTGTTTGTGGTTTGGGTTGAGGAAGGTGAGGGGGAGCCTATCTCAGTTGATCCCAAGTAAAAATTGAATTAACTGGAGACAAAGTCAGAGAGTCATGGCTGAGATGGTTTGAACATGTGCACAGGAGTGATAGTGGATATATGGCAGGAGGAAAAGAGGAAGACTACAGAGAAGAATCAGGGACTTAGTAAAGGAGGAGATGGTGTGACAATTCTGCTGTTTAAATTTGAGAACACCTGTGTGCACCTGTGTACTGTGTTCACTAACATTTACATAACACACAGGAGGACACAGGTACTAACACGCAGACAAGGCAATGTCATAATAGGGTTGTTTTCTGAATGTAATAATGGTTATGTTATATGTTGATTCACAGATTTCAAGTTGCTCAGATCCCGGAGCAGAAACCATGCACAGTGGAGACCAAGAGAGCATCCCAGGAGCAAAGGAACTCCTTCTTCGGTGGGAAGTCCTTCTCCTTGTCTTCCTCATCTGGCATCCGGAGGTAGGAACTCCAAACACAGCAAGAAGTTTTGGCCTCTCTTTCTATCCATGCTGTTTCTTTCTGTTTCATTTCCTCTGTGCACTGCCAGCACTTGAAGACTGTACTGACCAGCGACTGATGTAGTCTTGACAATTGGTTAGATTTAGTCAAATCAAATTGAGATTTATTTAAAATGACAAAAATATCATAATTAATTTTGTTTTTCATTCATGTTTGCAGGTGAAGGGACGATATTGCTACCTCGCTGAAGATGACCTCATTCACCGGCGACGGCTTGACCCGCTGACACCAAGGGTGTTTTATTTAGTTGACTGACACCGATAAACCACAACCACCTGCTGCTGGAAGTAGTTGTTTCTAATAATGCAATAATAGGAATATAACTGTATTTATTATTACATAGGCAGGTTATTGTATTATAGACGTATCGGATGCCGCATCAGAGGCATCACGGCTACATCCGAACAGCAACGGGTCGCGAGACGTCCAAGGACAGAGCGGTTAATAATAACTGACACTAGAAAGAGTGAAGCGTGTATTATACACAAATGCACTCCCGGACTTTTTTTTTTTTAAAAAGGAGTGCTTCCATTTAAAAAAAAGAAAAAACAAAACAACAAAAACAAAAATAATAATAATTTATAAGAATGCACCATAAAAAACAGAAAATCTCCGCCTATCAGCCTGTGGTTTGCAACATCAATGAGCATATGAGTTTTTTAGCACCACAGTTGGCTAATAAGCCAAATAAAAATAAGAAATCTGGATCATTTGACACTTCATTATTTAAAAAAAGGTACGTTTTAAATTTTATTTTAATGTTATATATTTAAATAATTAAATATAAGTAATTTTGCTGACACCAAAACTGAGGAGGTTTCAGACCTCACCTGCTCACTCAGTTAAAACCTTTTAGAGTAAAAAATAAAACCAAATAAAAATGGCGAGATTTACATTTTCGGGATGTACCGATTTTTCTTTAAGAGGGGAACCTCAGGCTATATCGGAGCATTTTTAATGACGCCGCAGCCCATTGGCTCATTCCCAGCTGCTGTCGTCATTAGAGTGAAAGAGTAGTTACAGGGGTGGGTCTCGCTTTTGTAGAAGAAAACATGTAAATGTAAATATAAACATGTAAATATGTAAATATGGGTGGGTTTAGACAAACATGGCGTTTTGTAATTTTAAAGTATGCATGAGGTGATACGTTAGATCCCTTATAATGGGAAAGACAACTGCACTGCACCAGCGAGTGACATTTGTAGTTTATCATTTTAAAAAAAGGAAATAGTTAGAAAAAAACCCAGCAAATGCTACCACACTACCATGCATAAGCCCGAAGGCTGAAGTGCAGCATAAGTTTAACATGATATTTGTTATTTTTCTATCATTTGGGTGCAACATCTCAGTGCTTTTTCCTTCAGCTGTTACAGTTTCCTCTTCCATTCATGAAAACACTCTGTAGCTATGCAATCTTCAAAATTCAAAGAAACCACTTCTATAAACACACACACACAGACACACACGCACATATTTATTTATTTTATTTTATAGTTTAATTCAATAAACCCACCAGTGGCTGCAGAGAATTAGCGGTTTAAATGCCTCAGTCATGCGAGCTCAGTTGGCTTTAGTTTACATCCTCCTGGGTTTTCAAGCGTGTACTATAATGACAGAGGCTTTTTTTAACTGCTCATTTTCATATTTTCTTATTATGTTGTGACAAGGAATATGACAGCATGTCTGGAGGGAAGGGTATTTATTGACTGCGTTACATGTTTTCTTTTGATTTGTTTTTAGTAACATTCTCACTCAGACTACAGTTATCATGAAACGTATTCAAGCTGAAGTGTTGCTGAAAAGAGGGAAGGATTTAAATATTCATCTCATCAGCTTTGTAGCATGCATTTATATAATATTGCAGTTTTTTCCCTGTATGATGTTTTTACTTTTAAAATAAAGAGGTATTTTAAATGCTATCTGGTTTGGTGTTGCACTGCTGTGTGGCTTTGTGGTGTCTGGAGTTGGTGAGTATGTGAGACTTGAGATTTGTGTGAGGCTAGATTATAAAATGGCAAAATATTTGATGGGATTGCTTGAACCATGATGAACTTGTTTGGGGTTGTCACCCCCTAGTGGTTCACTGTAGATTAAAGGGATACTTGAGTCTGTACTGTTGTACGTTACTATAAATTCCCTTCTTTTCCTATGGCTCCTTGATTTAAAAAATTATGGACACACATGGATTTAAATTAGAAGAAAAACATCCATCCATCCATCTTGCCCTATCCCAGCTGCCATAGGCCGAAAGGTGGGGTTAATCCTCGATAGGTTGCCAGTTACCACATTTTAAAAATGTCTTCTTCTTTACTACATGATTTTTACATCCTTCACATTTGTGACATGTGTTTTTCTCCGGGACATCGAGAGCAAGCCTTAAATTTGCAGTGAGGTTGACCCTTGCGGGGAACACACGCATTCCTGTCTTTCATGTCAGAACAACGCTCACAGTAGAAAACCTATTAGTTCTTATACAAACATCAGGTGCTCGAAATTACTCATAAAATCAATTCTCTAAGCACACAGCTGTGATACGCCACGTAGTTTTCTATTTTCATAAATACACTATCTTTATACCCTATACATCCAAAGGCATTTAATGCATTAAGTCAGAAATCAAATACAATATAGACATTTATTTCTAATCTTCAGTCATCATAAATCTCCTTTGTCCTGATTTGCAGTATTTTAACAATAAAACTAAACTTCAGGTTTTTCCCTTTAATTTGCTCTCACTAGGATTCTTAGCAAAAAGAAAACAAAAAATAGTATCTATAACAAAAGTAAAATTAACATCTCAGAAGTGTTGCACCTGCTAAACTAACGACTGGTGCAAATTTAAGATTGAAAAGTGCTCTCTTGAAGAGATCTCATCTGTCATGCAATACTGTGTGTCTATGTAGGTTTTGAACCATCCAGGTGGCAGTAGCTTTGAGTACTTCTTTTTAGGTTCTTCTGTTCAAAAAAACTAATGGGAAGTCCCACTGGTGCTGTCACTTTGGAGGTGGTCCTGAGAGTCATTAACCTTCCTGCAATCATGTTTAATTCAATTCAACTTAAGTGAATATTATTTATATTGAACTAAAACAACAGTTGCCTCGAAGTGCTTTATATTTTAAGGTAAAAACTCTACATTAAAACACACAAAACAACAACAACAATAAAATGACCCACATGGGAAGAAAAAACTTCCTTTTAACAGGAAGAAAACCTCAGAGCAGCGCCAGGCTCTGGGAGGGGCGGCTATCTGCCCCGACCAGTTGGGGGTGAGGGGAGGGAGACAGGACAAAAAACACAGTGTGGAAGAGAGTGGTAGATAAACATGCGAGTCTTTAACAGTCTGTTACTGTTACACAAGCCCAGGTGGCAAACAGTCACATGGTGTTAGTGTTGTGCTGTCAAGTTTTGGATTCCACTGTTTGCTTTTGGTGGCGGCAGTTTGCGCTTCTTAGTGAGATTGCTGCGGGCATCCTGCCCTGCCAGGAAGTAAAGGATGGGGTCCACGCAGCTGTTGGCACTGGCCAAAGGTCGTGTAATCTTGTAGGCCACACTGGAGGCTTCCACCAAGCTGCAGCTGATCTGGTGAATGGATGCAAATGTCATTCAGCGATCTTTTAGAGTCATCATAACATGTTTATTACTAAAGAAGTGCTTGTCCTCACCTGTGCTGGATTCACCTGCCTCATGTATCTAAAAAAGTAGTAAAGACTCCTGGTGAGGTGGAAAGGGAGGAAACACAGCATGAACGCTGCCAGCACGATGATGATCATCTTTACTGACTTCTGTTTGGACCTCTGGGCTGTTAAGCCTCCTCTTTCCTCTTCGGTTCTTGCTCCAGACCCCCAGCCAGTATCTAGAAGCTTTCTCACCATCAGGCCGTAGCAAACCATCACCACCATGAAGGGTAAGACGAACATGAGCACTGATACGACTGAGCTGTACACCAGGAAGTCATCGAAAAGCTCTGGACTGGTGGTGTCGTGGCAGATTCGCTCGGTGTTCACGTCCCTTACAGAGCAGATAACAGATTGCATTTGTTTCGGATCTTTAAACGGCACTCCCCCTGTCTGGCACTCAACCTGAGTAAAAGCTTGGCTGTTCTTTTAAGTGTGTCCCATTAGGGTCACCTAAGATAAGCACAGTACAAAACTGGTGTGCCACAAAAGTCGATAGTCCACACTTAAATGCAATTAGAGACACTTTCACAAAATAAACGAAGACAGAGAAATAAAGTTACAAACATTTAATCACCTAGTTCTTGAAAAGTAGAGAATAGGAGCCTGGCAGAATAACACACAGGCCCACACTGCCACAGACACCAGCCGGGCCTGGCGGGCGCTGACCCAGTTGAGGGAGCGGACCGGATAGCAGATACCAACGAACCGATGCAGGCTGATGCAGGACAGGAACAGGATGGAACCTGTCAGAGAGGGAAAAATGAATGCTTAGCATGCCTTTTTCATAGACTAATAATTATTAGTATTACTGTGTAATTCTTTGTATTAACTAATAGATCATAAAAAAACAAAACAAAACAAAAAAATTGTAACCTGTGGTTTGCACCTTGTTTGTAAACCCTCAGTGTTTATGTTCATGAAGGCGTCTCTTGCGTGTATAATGATATTCCTACCACTTAAGGCATTTTTTTTGGACTTGGTTAGATGATGTGAAGTTGATTTTCTTAACAACGGAAATAATTCTGTGATCATCCACTCAGTTATTCATTTGGCTTCGCTGAGCTGACGACTGCATTTGGGCCCTCCTAAAGCTTTGTGTTTCTCTCTTATTTATTTCGGGTTTATTTGGGTTTTTCAGCCCAATATTGGCCTCTCTGAATTGCACTGACATCTAAGATTATGATGTAAACCTATAAAATACATCAAGGGAACGGCCCTCCCTCAGCCATGAGACTGCTCATCTGAATTAAAGCTGAAAGTCTCCACACACACACACACACACACTGTATTTCACACCTTATTGCATCATACTGCACTGACAAATAATGCATACTGTATTGCAGCATATTATCTTGCAAAGCTGTTCCTCTACAATAAGTCAAGCTCAGCTTTTGTACTGCGCTGTGTGAGTTTGTAGCTTTCCACAACTGTACCGTATAAATTGGCATAAAACAGGAAGCGTATAAGCTTGCAGAAGGGTTCGCTGAACGGCCAGTCGTTCTTGTCGGCGTAGTAGTAGATGAGGAATGGCAGCGTGAAGATGTACAGGGTGTCACACACTGTCAGGTTGAACATATAAATGGTCGAGGGCTTCCAGCGCTTGGTGCGGAACACAATCACATACAACGCAGTGGCGTTCAGCGCTAGGCCAATCACAAACACCAGGGTGTAGCTGACAGGGAGGAGGATATATTTAAAATCATCATTGAACTGACAGTAGCTGGCACTGAAATTGGTTTGGTTGGTCTTGTTGTTGTCAACGCTGGCCATCTTGATGCTGAGAAGACCTGAGGGGAAAATTGTAGAAAGGAAT